TCACCATAAAACCAATCACACCGCCTTCTCCCCCTCTGCCGCTGCTTCTGTCTCTGCCTCTGGTCACTGCTGTCCACTAGTTTTCACGCGAAGTTGCTGAAGGAAGGTCGGTTTGGTTGCTAAATGACGCTGTGACGTCACTGCGCGACGACGTCATTACGTAATCACGCCGCAAAATTGTGTCACTACGTCAAATCTCAGCAAACATCTATGTTATATGTTCATTTGGATTTTGCTCGTAAAATAATATGAATGCATAATATAATGGTAAAATATAAATAACAATTTTTATACTCAACATTGAACACCTTTGAACGATTTAATTTTCGAACGATTACAAGGTTAACTAGTAAACTAGTAAAATTAGACATTCTGAACAATTATAGTTTTGACTAATATATTTTTAACATATAAACACCCAGATGCTGAGGGTCACTGTGGTCAGATACAATCAGTGTTGGGGAAAGTTACTTTTAAAAGTACTGCATTACAATATTGCATTACTTTCTTTAAAAAGTAACTAATTACGGTACTTAGTTACTTAGTAATGCGTTACGTTACATTTGCATGACTTTTTCCAATCTGCCTTGGCCTCATTTTTCTCTCTTCAGAATCAAAAAATAAAAAGAAACACAAATGTTATGTTTATCGAAAGTCATTTTTGCTTATAATTGTTCATCGAAGGTCAGCAGCAAAGATACTGGTTAAATACTTAAATGATATTTGTGTTATTTAACATGTTTGCGTCATGTCCTGAGTTTGCATTTCACTGTTTTTATTCATTTTGAGGCATGCTGAATCTGTTTTTGTGCGAGTGAGATGAGTAAATGCATGCTGACATTTAGTCTACAGTATCATCATGTTCACACAGCGCCTCTGCACTCACTCTGTGACGCTGTCAGTCAATACATGGGAAAACAAAGTAACTGGCTTTACTTATTTGAAAAGTAACTCAGATATCTGCTTGTAAATTAAAAATGAATGCATTACTTTACTAGTTACTTGAAAAAAAGTAATCTGATTACAAAAATTACATTATTCATTAAATTTTTTAAATGAATAAAAGGTAAAAGGATTTTTTTTTGTCAGGTTTACATTTATTTATTACCACAAAACATTCTAATATCAATTTTCTTAAATTCTTGAATGAAGCAGACTACATTGTGTCACATAAATGGAAGTAATATTTAAATTTTTCAAATGTAGCAGAGTTCAGTTCATGTATAATGGCTACTAATCACTGCTATTATAGTAATTATTGAAATAAACAGCACATTTTGTGGGTGACAACTAAATACTTCTACCTAGCGGATGTTTTTTGTTTCATAGGTAGGTTTTGGAGTAGAAATATCTTAAAAGTACTTTTGATGAGTTTGATGAATTAGAAACACTCAAGAAAGCACTCCTGCTCTTACTACATTTGCATATCTTCCTTTTTACTGATGTCATTCGTGGTTATTAATTATAATCCGTTACCCCCAATACTGGATACAAGTATAAGTATATACAGGTGGTCTGTGTGGGTCCTGATGCCCCAGTATAGTGACGGGGACACTATACTGTTAACAAGCACCGTCCTTCGGATGAGACGTTAAACCGAGGTCCTGACTCTCTGAGGTCATTAAAAATCCCAGGATGTCTTTTGAAAAGAGTAGAGGTGTGACCTCGGCATCCTGGCCAAACTTGCCCACTGGCCTCTGATCATCATGGCCTCCTAACAATCCCCATATCTGCTGATTGGCTTCATCACTCTGTCTCCTCTCCACCAGTAAGCTGGTGTGTGGTGGGCGTTCTGGTGCACTATGGCTGCCGTCACATCGTCCAGGTGGATGCTGCACACTGGTCGTGTATGAGGAGATACTCCCTGACAATATAAAGCAGTTTGAGTGCCTAGAAAAGCGCTATATAAATGTAATGAATCATTATTATTATTATTACAATACACACACTACACACATTCACCTGCCGTCTCTCAGGCTGTGGCACTTCCTGTCTGCCCTTACTCTGTCTCTCTCGTTCATACCCGTCCAGACGCCTTCTTTCATTTATAACAAACATTATTGCATGATTTATAATGCAGGAATTAACATTATAAGTAGAATCAAGCAGATCTGCTATTAGTTCCACTTTTTCATTTTGGCTCTTGGTTTAGCATGTGCTTCATTTTGCGGTGTTTTTTTGTTTTTTTTGCAAAACAATGTTGTTGTTTTTTCTTGGGGTGTTGGATAATACTTGCAATGTAACCGCAAAGAAGGACGTTTTTGGTAACACTTTATTTTACAGTGTCCTTGTTACACATTACATGTACTAGTAATAACCGTAAATTATGTATAATTACATGCAGTAACCCTAAACCAAATCCTAATTCTAACCCTAGCCTTATAGAAAGTTGGCTACATGTTGTTAATTAATATTACTCAGTACTTAAATGTACAATTACACTGAAATAAGGACACCTTAAATACGTTTTTTGTTTGTTTGTTTGTTAGTTTTTTACATAAGAGACATTATGGGCAACAAGGATAAAACATGAAATAATCCATTTCATATTTTTACATAATGATTAAAAAAATTTTTTTAATTAGTCACATAAAGAGTGTAAAGGTGTTCAGGATAAATATTAACATATACAGTAGCCCATGTAAGCTTATAAAATCTACAATCAGGAACTGAGAATGCAATACTATTTTCCAAACTGTTTATTTTCAAACAAGCAATCTCATTTTGGCAAACTCATTTTCAAACTAATGGCCACAAAAGACTAACAGGTTTAATGTATATTCAAGATCACGTTTTATTTTCAGATGTGGCAGGTCTGCAATTCATTGTCAACAACCAACCAAAACTACATCAATGGCCTGTGCTGTCAGAAATTACATTATTCATTACATTTTTTAAATGAATAAAAGGTAAAAGGATTTTTTTTTGTCAGGTTTACATTTATTTATTACCACAAAACATTCTAATATCAATTTTCTTAAATTCTTGAATGAAGCAGACTACATTGTGTCACATAAATGGAAGTAATATTTAAATTTTTCAAATGTAGCAGAGTTCAGTTCATGTATAATGGCTACTAATCACTGCTATTATAGTAATTATTGAAATAAACAGCACATTTTGTGGGTGAAGCAAATTCACCATTAAGGTGTTTTAACTTAAAATGTAACAGTTTTAAAATGCATTAATGATGGATTTGTTTCTTACAAACATGCAGTTTTTTGGCTTCTCAAGACACTCCATAGACTGGAGTGGTGTGGATTACTTGTGGATTTTCGTGATGTTTTTATCAGCTGTTTGGACTCTCATTCTGACGGCACCCATTCACTGCAGAGCATCCATTGGTGAGCAAGAGATGCCATGCTAAATTTTTCCAAATCTATATGAAAATTCATTTTGCAGCCTAACCAATTAATCTCTAGCATGTTTAATTTAATAAGTCGATTTGGAAATCTGGAGAAGCAGGGTGAAATGCTTGTTTCTTTCCAGCTGTCATTTTCCTTTAAGATGATGTAAGGCTCATCTCCCTAAGAATGGTCTCCCTCCCCCGTCCAAAGTCTCTCTCTGCACGCTGCATTCATTCGCACAACGCTGCTGATGCTCTGGAGAGTCAGGATGCACAAACTTCACAACGCACCCTCGTTTTCAACTACAGATCATTTTACTGAAATGCTGGGTGGGTGCCAGGTTCATGAAGACTAGCTGTTCTGGACGGACAAGATTTCCTGAGAGAGAAGCACTCTTCTGTAGGAAATTGAAGCTGTCTTGGTCGGTGCAGTTTTCCATTTTTTTTATAAGCAGAACTTATTTTGGGATTTTCGGCTGGAGGTTACATGAGCTGCATAATTGGTTCCCTTGGGTGAGAGCTCTTCTATTTCTACATTATTTCAAATAACAGGGAGATGCGTGTTCAGATTTATCATCTGGCAATAGATGCCCAGCTACAATTGTTGGAAAAGCCTAATCTTATTGTGCCATTTTGATGCATTTGTACTTCTATAAACTGCATCTCTGCAGGTCTCAGAGATGCTGTACATAACACAATGGACTGTGGATGGCTATTAAAGCGCGTGCAGGTTATGTTCCTTTTGACTTTTTGCTCCCTAAAAACAAATCAAAAACTTTTGCGCATTCGCTTTTTTGTTTTTTGAAGCGTGCAACGCCAAAATGGCTCTGACTGAGAATTGCAGGACTTATCAAACGCCCAAGGACAGTGGATGTGCTCAGAGTTGCTCTTCTGATGTGGTTGAGCTCAATGTAGGTGGACAGGTGTACTACACTCGCCATGCCACCCTCACCAGCGTGCCAAACTCTCTGCTGGGGAAATTATTCTCAGCTAAAAAGGACGATTCCAACGACCTCGCGCAGGACATCAAGGGACGCTACTTCATCGACAGGGACGGATTTCTCTTTCGGTATGTGCTGGACTATCTCCGCGATAGGAACGTCGTCCTGCCGGATTATTTCCCGGAGAAAGGGAGGCTCAAACGGGAGGCTGAGTTCTTCCAGCTGCCCGAGCTCGTGAAAATCCTGACACCAGATGAATATATCCACGGTGACTTTGACGAAGCGTCCCAGGGAAGCGATCAGAGGTTGTTCCCCGCGTCTTACCTGGACGCGCGCGATAGGCGCTTCGGCTTCATCACGGTGGGATGCAAGAGCTCGTGCGCCTTCGGGAGGGACGCGGATCCCAAAGCGCGAGGAACACCCAAAATCTTCATCTGCGGAAGGGTCGGTCTGGCCAAAGAAGTTTTCGGGGACACTCTAAACGAGAGCCGGGACTCTGACAGGCCAGCCGAGCGCTACACCTCTCAGTTTTACCTGAAGTTTCGCCACCTGGAGCGAGCGTTTGACATCCTCGCGGAGAGCGGCTTCCACATCGCCGCATGCAATTCATCACTCACCCCTTCTCCGCACAACAGACGCACTGATGACAGATGCTGGTCCAATAACACAGAGTACGTCTTCTACCGTAAGTACAGTTTATTTCACAACAAAATACAGCCAGTTGGTCGTCTTACCTGGACGCGCGCGATAGGCGCTACGGCTTCATCACGGTGGGATGCAAGAGCTCGTGCGCCTTCGGGAGGGACGCGGATCCCAAAGCGCGAGGAACACCCAAAATCTTCATCTGCGGAAGGGTCGGTCTGGCCAAAGAAGTTTTCGGGGACACTCTAAACGAGAGCCGGGACCCTGACAGGCCAGCCGAGCGCTACACCTCTCAGTTTTACCTGAAGTTTCGCCACCTGGAGCGAGCGTTTGACATCCTCGCGGAGAGCGGCTTCCACATCGCCGCATGCAATTCATCACTCACCCCTTCTCCGCACAACAGACGCACTGATGACAGATGCTGGTCCAATAACACAGAGTACGTCTTCTACCGTAAGTACAGTTTATTTCACAACAAAATACAGCCAGTTGGTCCCAGATAGCACATGTAGCCTACGTCTGCAAGATGTCTGTTAAAGATCTGGAAAGCGTCTGCTGTGTACAAACATCTGATAGACGTCAGTTTTACATGCATTCTAAATGATAAACATCTTAAAGACGTTTTCTAAAGTTATACTTGATATCTGATAGGAAACGTCCTATAGAGGTATTGCAGATGAACAAACGCTCGAACAAATACGTCTTGCAGATGTAATGCAGACGTCAAATAGAGTCTCCGTTGATGTATGCTACTTCTGCTTTATCGCCAAATCATGGAAGTGGTTTATCGATTGTTGTCAACTAGCCCATTGCATAAACAACGATTGTTTTGGGGTAAAAAATATATTGTTTTCAGTTTTCAGAAATATTTGACCACTGAATGCCACGGCAGGTCAACCAGAATCAAGTATTCCAGTGTGTCAGCTAATAATTGCTTTAAAAAAAAAATCCAAATCACAAGGCTTCAAAATCGAGTGGATTCTATTCAGTGTGTAGTTGTCACGCTTTTCTCAGACAGTACCATTAGGCGGCGCGCTCTGATAGTTTTGATCAATTCTATTCAGTTCAATTCTATAATCTGCCTCAAACTCAAATGTAGGTGATGCACTTCCCTTTAAGTGTTAGCAGACTGAACTGAGTTTGTCCGCTCAGAACATCGATAGAAGAGAGCGAGAGAGGCTTTCGAGCCAATGCAGATGTGGAGAATTCCCTCAAGTCTAGCTCTCAGGGATATGGACAGTGTGGTTTGAATATTTCAGTAATCTACCACAGTGATGATCATGTCACTTCCTCCCCCCTCTCTCTCTCTCTCTCTCTCTCTCTCTCTCTCTCTCTCTCTCTCTCGTGCTCACTCGCTCAATCTCTCTTTGTTTAACTACATGTGCACCTTTTGGATATACAATTGTTCTCCAGCGCCTGCCTTCATTAGTGGTTCATTTGACTTGCCTTTGTCTTAAATGAGAGAGATGTTGCAGCATATGGCCAATTAAAAATCACTTTGTGCTTAATTTCAAATGAGTCCCCTTTGAAAAACTAAAAAGAGCGGGCCTGGAACAGAGAGCTTCTGGAGGACAGTCACGAGATTTGGGGCGAATGGACATATGGCTGCTTAATGATTTGTTTTCTGTCATCAGTATATTTACTGCAGCATTTAGCCCCTCCCATTGCCCACATAATGGAAAACAATTATGGCACATCAGGATAAGGAGTAATGCTATACTGTAAGTCTACAATGTAAAAAAAAATCCGTAAAATTTACGGTTAAAAAACGGCAGCTGTGGTTGCCGGAATTTTACCGTAAAAAATACAGTAGCACCATTTTAGGTTTTAACTTAAATTTACAGTTAAAACCTAACTTCATTAACTGAAATAAGGTTAATATACCAACCTATTGAAGTACTGAAATCTGTTTTGTACCTTTGTAATACACTGATAACCACCAAAAGCAGGTGGTGTTAAGAAAGTCACATGATGAACCAAAGCCCATCACAAGCAACTTATAAGAACATATATAGAAGGTGCACCGTGTCATTTACACAGACGCTAAACACCATCACGGTAGCACACATGAAACTGAAATAATGCAATAAACATTCATTTAACAACATTAGGTGTAACATACAAGAAAAACTAAGACGAAACATAGCTATTTCAACAAAAAAAACTCAAATTTGAAATGTAACGCTGGGAATTCTGGGAATGTAAATTTATGGTTATTCACTGTAAATTATACGGTCTTTTTCACTTCCAAAAACGGTATTCTACCGTAAAATTACATGTAATGTCCAATAGAGTTTTTCACCATATATATTAGGGGAATTTACCATTAACCATTTAACAGGTTTTTACTGTAGCATTTTTACAGTCTTTTACCGTTAAATTCACCGTCATTTTTTACAGTGTATATCTACACGACAGTCGTGCTGATATTCAGACCAACAGCATGATGGCAAATGCGCTATTGGTTTAAATAATCAAGAAGTTAAAATCATCAAGAAATGAAAAATGTTCATAATTATTCATCAAAATGCCATAACTGGATCTTCCAGTGAAACCGACTTCTCTCTGGTGACGTATGCAGGATTTTGGACTTCAATTAAATCATGTATCACCTAAAGATTAATTTAAACTCTGTATAAAATAAAACATGTAACACTTTTTTCTTATTGATTGTGATATTTAAGCAAAAGGGGAATCAACACTAACTAGGGGTGTCATGAAATTACCTTATTGTTAATGAAATGATCTTATCTTATCTTATTTTATCTTATCTTACTTGGTGCCTATAGATGAACAAAGAAATGATGCACTTTTTTTCTAATTAGTTGTTACTTTATATTAGGGTAAGATGTAGTAGTACACTTTTAATTAACATGAAAGGAGACCTGGCTTTAAATCCCAACCTATTAGTTTTCTTAGATAAACCAAACAAATGAACTTGACAGTTATGATCATTATGTATTTTCATTGAAGCAGCTCTGACATTCTCTTCCACAGGAAAGAAAATCTTATGGGTTTGGAGAGACATGAGGATGTTAAAGCAAAAGGTCTACAGATGATGACTTTATTGGACTTAGACATGTGAATGTGTGATTTCTACCACAGTGTTAGACGATTATGCTACATAGTTCAAAAGACGCAAATTATAAAAATGTTTGCATTTAAAGTTGTATTTAAAATCCACTTGGCCCAAAAAATTGCTTGACACTTCTGTCACATCAGATAACAAGATTAAATTATAATGGTTGAAATGTTATATCTCAACTTTACGCTGCACATTTCAGTTTACAGCATAATTGGTAGATTCTTGTTTCTCTTTTGAATTTGTTTGCTCTTGAATCCCCCTGGTGAAATGAACCAGTTGCTTTTTACAGGCCTCACTGCCTTCTCTTGTGCTGTTACTTCTCAGAACATCACCCACATGACACATTTTACCAATTTAGACTGCCCAAGAGATTGGTAATATATCAGTGCGGTCAAAGGGGTTGCTTATTTTTCTTTGTCGCTTACTTACTCATCCTCCTTCTTATGTGCTTCATCACTTAACATGCCTTCTCTGCACATTCTTGCAGTTAAAAAATGTGCTGCAGGTTGTCCTCAACATTTTTTTTTAATTATTTGTACCAACTGGTCAGTTTTGTCTCTGCATTAATTAATAGTCGTGATTAATGATTTTTGCTTGGCAGAAAAATAAATTGCATGAGCATCATGCGATTCATAAACATCTCACACATTTCATAGCTGCATTCAGATGGAACTCACTGACTGACTTACTTTTTACTATTTTTATTTATTGCCTGCATCAGTCTTGGCATTCCATTTTGACCCAAAATCTCGACCTGCTGTCAAGCAGAGCTTTATTTTATTTGTGACCCTGGAGCACAAAACCCATCTTAAGTCACTGGGGTATATTTGTAGCAATAGCCAACAATACATTGTATGGGTCAAATTTCCTACTGTAAATATATCAAAACTTAATTTTTTATTAGTAATATGCATTGCTAAGAACTTCATTTGGACAACTTTAAAGGCGATTTTCTCAATATTTAGATTTTTATGTGCCCTCAGATTCTCAAATAGTTGCATCTCGGCCAAATATTGTCCTATCTGTTACATGCTAGCCCTTTTAGTCTAGAGGTAATGGACCTAGCAGTAACATTTTTGGAGAGAGAAAGCACAGGGAGCTCTTGTCTCCAGCCCCAATAACACACCTCCAAACAAAAAGAAAATATTTAACTTTTTATTCAATCATAAGAAAAAGATAAAAGGAAACATAAGCTTCAGGAGGGAGCCAGAGAAAAGCAGTCCGTGTGACAGGTTACAATCTGCAACCCTCTCCCTCTCCCTCTGTTGAAAGGCAGTGCTGGTTTTATATGCTGGCTTTCTCCTGGCGGCAGCCAATCAGTGGAGCTGAGGTAAATGGGCAGCAAATCAGCAACAGGTGGACCCAATCACCTGCATGCGAATGATAGCAGTAGACAAGGAAAAAAAAAAAAAAAAAAAAAACACCACAAAGCGCATAACAAATAAATACGTCTCAGGACGTAACACCCCCACCATTAAATTTTACAACCCACGGATTGTGAAACAAACTACCCATAAAACTCCAATAGTAATGCCACTCAGTCATAATTTTTTGTTTTGTTTTGACCAACCCAGTTAAGTCTCCAAATCTGTAGTCCTAGAGAGCGCATCCGCCACCACATTGTCTTTACCACGGATGTACTGGAGATTAAGGTTATACTCCTGGACAATTAGGGCCCAGCGCATCAAACGTTGGTTAGAGTTGGACATGCGGGAGAGAAAGATCAGTGGGTTATGGTCAGTGTGCACGTCGATAGGCACAGCACTGCTTCCTAAGTAAACCTCGAAATGCTGAAGAGCTAACAGCAAGGCGAGGGCCTCCTTCTCAATCGTACTGTAGCGTTGTTGGCATTTCGAGAACTTCTTGGAGAAGAAGCAGATGGGGTGGTCAATTCCACGGGAGTCCTCCTGCAGTAGGACTGCTCCAGCACCGGTAGCACTGGCATCTACTTGGAGTTTAAAAGGCAAATCACAATTAGGGGCAGACAACACTGGGGCATGGCAAAGGAGATCTTTGGCAGCCTTAAAGTCATTAACACACTCCACTTAAAACTCTGAGGTAGTACTGAGAAGGTCAGTAAGAGGAGACACAATTGTGGAGAAGTTACAACAAAATCCCCGGTAGTACCCAGTCATACCTAAAAACCGGCGTAAATCACGCTTGTTACGGGGTGTAGGAAACTCAAGTATGGCAGCAACCTTAGCGTCAACTGGCTTAACAAAACCCTGGCCAACTTGTTTCCCCAAATATGTGACCACAGCTTTACCAATCTCACATTTAACAAGATTCAAGGTTAAAGAGGCAGCAGCCAAGCGACTGAATACCAACTCCAAAGTCTTTACGTGCTCTTCCCAGATTTTTGAATAGATGATTACATCATCCAAGTACGCGTCACAATTCGGAACATCTGACAAGACCACCTGCATAAGGCGCTGGAAGGTGGCAGGTGCATTTCTCATGCCAAAAGCTAGAACCTCATATTGTAGGAAATGTTCAGAAGTGACAAACGCAGAGATCTCAGATGCACGTGGAGTTAAGGGCACTTGCCAATAACCCTTTAACAGGTCTAATTTGGTAACATATCTAGCAGAGCCTACTCGGTCAACACAATCTTCTAACCGAGGCAGAGGAAAGGAGTCAGGTTTCGTTAAGGCTTTAACCTTATGGTAGTCGGTACAGAATTGATAGGAGCCGTCGGGTTTAGGCACTAATAAACAAGGCGAACTCCATGGACTCTGACTAGGCACTGCTAGACCGTTCTGCAGCATATACTCAACCTCAGATCTCATTATGTCACGCTTCCTGGGGTTTACTCTATAAGGATGTTGCTTGACTGGATGAGATTCACCTACATCAATGTCATGTGTCAACATGGTCGTTCTACCAGGCACATCCAAAAAGAGTGAAGGAAATTCATGAACCAATTTAATAATTTGCTCCCTCTGTTCTGTTGTCAGGTGTGCAAGAAAGCTCTGCAAATCACTCAATACGGCAGAGTTTTGAAGCTTTTTAGCTGCAACTTGTGTAACTTTTTCAACTGGCTCATCTTCGGGCAATTCATTAACAGTAGCCACTGCAACTGGTGAAACAGAGAAGGAAATGGGCTTCTCACCGCGCACAATAAATTGCTTCAACATATTTATGTGACATACACGGGCCTTACGACGTCGATCAGGAGTATGTATGACAATTTGTGTCACTGAGCTTTTCTTTGACTTCATATGGACCTGAAAATTTAGATCGAAACACAGAACCAGGATCAGGTAAGAGAAGAACATTATCACCAGGTTGAAAACTACGATTCACACTTCTCTTATCGTAGCGAGACTTCATTCTTGACTGAGCTGTAATCAAGTGTTCTCTAGCCAGCTCACAGGCCTTATACAGTTGCTCACGAACAGTGCTGACATAGTCAAGAATGGTCACAGGCGGGGAGACTTTAGCTAATAATTGTTCACTAAGCAACTTCAACGGGCCACGCACAGTGTGACCGAAAACAAGATCAGCCGGACTAAACCCAAGACTCTCTTGCTCTGCTTCACGGACCGCAAACATAAGGTACGGAAGACCCTCAGCCCAGTCCTTCCCATGGCCTACACAATAGGAGCGCAACATTGATTTAAGGGTTTGATCATCTCTCAAGCGCGCCCTGCGACTCAGGATGATACGCGCAGGAGAGCTGGTGTTTGACCCCTAACTCAGCAAGGGTCTGTGTAAATGCCTTGGATGTAAAATTCGACCCTTGGTCAGTTTGCACAACACGGGGCAGACCAAAGGTAGTGCAAAATTTCACCAACTCCTTAATGACGATTTTGGCTTTAATGGAGCGTAAAGGAATCGCTTCTGGGAAACGTGTGGCGGTACACATGATTGTTAGAATGTAGTCGTGTCCTGACTTAGATTTGGGCACCGGACCCACACAGTCAACAAGGAGTCGTTCAAAAGGTTCTCTCAGAACAGGTATTGGCTGTAGAGGCGCAACTGGTATATTTTTGCTGACTTTCCCGGCCAATTGACATACAGGACATGATCTACAAAAGTTAGATACATCCGATTTTAATCCGGGCCCTTATCTTCCACAAATTCGTCATGCGACACCAAAAATGATTCAGAGAGATCCACCAGGTCTCTGAATTTAGACGATTGAGCACGAGTCACAAACTCATGCAGGGAAAGCTGCAGGAAATTGACGTGCTAGATCAGGTTGCTCACACACGCTAGGGTTATGGACCACAATTGGTCTGGGAAAAACTTTGCCCCCTGCGAGGTCATTCCCCAGAATAACCCCCACCCCCTCAACAGGTAGCTGAGAACAACTTGAACGCTAACATTGACTCACCCAGAGACTCAGTTGCCGGCCCAGGAAGAACCCCACCGGTCACAGCTTGTGCTGTGAATCCAGGTTGTTCCTCAGCACCGACAACAGAGTAATCTGGTAAAATCCCTACATCGACTAGCTTTTCACGCAAGTCATCTTTAATAATTTGTTTGGTAGCCTGCCTTGAAACCTCAGTACTAAAGAAATCTGCTATTAAAAACAAATCTGCCTTCCTGCAATGTTCAAAAACCTCTATGGTAGGAGAAAGAGTAAATTAAATTAAATTAAATTCCATAATTCTCACTACCACAGAGGCCTTCTCCTTCACCAAAATAAAACAGCCAAACAGAGCAAGAAAGAAATGAGCAGATACTTACAATTACACCAAGGTAAACTTTCACTTGAACGGACGAGCCCCCACTTGTTACATGCTAGCCCTTTTAGTCTAGAGGTAATGGACCTAGCAGTAACATTTTTGGAGAGAGAAAGCACAGGGAGCTCTTGTCTCCAGCCCCAATAACACACCTCCAAACAAAAAGAAAATATTTAACTTTTTATTCAATCATAAGAAAAAGATAAAAGGAAACATAAGCTTCAGGAGGGGGCAAAGGCCAACACAACAAACTAAAAGATTTCTAACTCAATTTTAACTATAACTTACCTATACATAAACCAAAAGAAAATGAACAAAATGAACTTCCCTATCTCCTTGACTATCCAAATAGCCAGGAGAAAAGCAATTAAAGAAAAAGGCACCCACCTCCCTACAAGTTTCCTTACAAAATACTTAAATTCTAAACAAACTTACAAGTCTCCAACTAAGCCCACAGTAGCACCAATGGTTAGCACTTAATAACAACAGACAAAGTTATCTGGAGCCAGAGAAAAGCAGTCCGTGTGACAGGTTACAATCTGCAACCCTCTAAATATATCAAAACTTAATTTTTGATTAGTAATATGCATTGCTAAGAACTTCATTTGGACAACTTTAAAGGCGATTTTCTCAATGTTTAGATTTTTATGTGCCCTCAGATTCCAGATTTTCAAATAGTTGTATCTCTGCCAAATATTGTCCTATCCTAATAAACCATACATCAACGGAAAGCTTATTTATTCAGCAAACAATTGACACTTAAGACTGGTTTTGAGGTACAGGGTCACATATTTTAAATTCTAAGCACTATTCACTTTGATGATGAACAGCCCAAAATATGTAAAATAAGATGTGTTTCTCTTCCTGAAAGTTAATGCAATAAGAATAATTTATGAAATATTTGTTTTAAAAAAAGCTTAGTTTATCATTATCATTAACAAACCCTCTTCAAATGGATGAGCCTTATTCTTTTGATCATTAAGGACCAAACAGTATAGCTAATTATTTACATCACAAGCTAGCTTGAAAGTTTTCCAATTAAAAAGCTATTAGATGTTTTTTAAGGTCACCTTCTCTGTTGCCCAAGAATACTGATGATCTATGGCATGTTTTTGCATCATAAAGCAGAAACGTCCAGTGAAGTTGATGCTGCATGCATAATTATCTCATTCAAAACCTAGAATGTAGCTCACGCTATATAATTTAGCATTTAATGTATTGCAACATCACGACACAGCCTGTCACATTGTTTCCAGTCTAGTGCAGATTATACAGTAGGGTGTGGGCTAATCAAATGTGCTTCAAGTAGTGTATTAGGCCCACAGCACTTGAAACATGAGCTAGGCAACCAAGATTACTCTGGCCATATCCTCTAAGAGCCTCAAGTGAATATGCAGCTTCTTTCTTTGAACGCTAGTGATTTACAGCCATTATTGAACTGGCACAGGAAATAAGTCCTGTGTCCACTAGGGGAGTTGAGATGGGGCAAATACAGACTGTTCCCATATAGTCTGCTGTACAGAAAGAGCCACTCCACCTGAGATGGAAAGTAAATGGAGAAGAGCGAGAAAGCACTGCAAGTGATTTTTCAGCGGAACCGGCCATATGCAGTGTGTTAAAGATTTCCATGCTTAAGAAAACTGTGAAATTACAAGTGCACAGGGGTGATGCTTTGTTATGGGGGTTTGGGCAAAAATCCAATTTAAGATGTAGGACACAGACATTGGCTGCATTCGAAATTACATACTCTCTCTAATTACTTCTTTTGAATGAGTACTCTCTTAACGATTGTTTAAAAGTATGTCCTGTATAGCATGAATGTGTTCAGTATAAATATAATAAGTACTACAGCATCATGCATCATGTACTACATTTGTCATGTTGTCTTTACCATGTGACCTACCATCATCAGTTCCACTGCACTTGTTAAAATTACAAATGACTTGCTTCTTGCATCAGACCAAGGCTGCATCTCATTGCTAGTTTTACTTGATCTTAGTGCTGCGTTCGACACTATAGATCGATTACAAAACTATACAGGTATTCAAGGGCAGGCTTTAAGATGGTTTAGATCCTACCTGTCTGATCGCTACCACTTTGTTCATTTAAATGGGGAGTCATCTCAATTATCACCAGTAAAATATGGAGTGCCACAAGGATCTGTCCTAGGTCCTCTGCTATTTTCAATGATGCCCCTTGGTAATATTATTAGAAAATACGGGATTAGTTTCCACTGTTATGCTGATGATACTCAACTATATATCTCAACAAGACCAGATGAAACTTCTAAATTATCTAAGCTAACAGAGTGTGTTAAAAATGTAAAATATTGGATGACCAATAATTAATGACCTATTAAATTCGGATAAGACAGAGATATTACTTAATGGACCAAAAGACAGTACACAGAATCTTGTGGATTACAATTTGCAACTAGACGGATGCACGGTTACTTCCTCTACAGTCAAAAATCTGGGTGTTATATTAGATAGCAACTTGTCTTTTGAAAATCATATTTCCCATGTTACAAAAACTTTCCGTACATTTCTGCCATATGTACATTAACTGACAGTCACCACTGATAAGCTAACAATAAATATTGTAGAAACCTAATTTGCTGTAAAGTTGCTTTGCAACGATTTGTATCGTGAAAAGCACTATACAAATAAACTTGAATTGAATTGAATTTACTGCCATTTACTAATCCTCTCCTGCGGCCTTATGAGCAGGGATGCACATGCGACCGAAATAAGAAATGCGCTGGGTAAATAAGCTCAGATCGACATTGACAGCTGTTAATGCACAATCACCATTTTAGATCGACCAACTGTAATACTTTATAAGATGCCCATCCGAACCGAAAGCCTAAATCTCAGCTATGCGCTGCCAGTTTCAGGGAAAAACGCAAAACTGACACTTTATCCACAGACACACTTCAAAACCGGAGACGTCAACCTGCCAAAATAAAAGCTTGCTGATTTTAAATTTGAAAATGATTATAATTCTTATAAAAATATTTAAATAAAGAAATAAAAGAAAATGTAAATATTAGTATTGTGTTGTTTTAAGTGCACTATAAAATAACTATTTTTTATTTAATACTCATTTTTTATTTCACAATATAATAGTATTATTGCACTATTTTTATTATTTTATCTAAATAAATAAAGTGCAATAATAACTATACTTAATATTATTAATTATTTAAATTTTTTAATAGTTATATTTAAAGTCCGTGTGAACCGGAAGTTGCTGCCGACTTTATTTCAGTATAGTGATTTCCAACTGTCCCTCCATTGAAAGTCCAGGTGACCAAAGATTTAAAGATCAACAACAACAAAACATTAATTAATATTGATACCAACTGTTTTCATTTGTAATTTAGTATGAAAATATGTGAAATAAGCTTTTGAAGTGTGAATATGTGATTTCTCAATCAAACAGGAGAGTGGATATACTAATGACAGAAATAGAGAAACATCTGGAGTTATTTCTCATAAATAAAATCAAAGCTAAATAAGACATTTATTATTATAGTTAATGGGATTGTTGTTTTTTGGAAATGCTATAAAGTCGTTCATGTTCTGTAATTGTTAATGTTAAACAAAAATAGCAGTCTAATAATTTGCAGTTTATTTTTTAATATAGTAAATATATGCCATTATACTAATATGTACACTTTAGGTTTTAATATATTAATAAGAACTTTTAATGTACTAATATGTATTATTTAGGAGTAAATAAGGCACAAAGATGTACCATTTGCTTAGATTAGTTTACCGTAGGGAAACGGCCCAGTGAGAGCTTTTGACTTTTTTAGTGTAGGAACTTGTGCGATTAATTAGTCAAGAAATTAATACATTTGGTTAATTCTTTATTTATTTGTTTAATGGATGGATTGAACCAGATAGTGAAGTAAATGTGTTAAAAATCACTGTTTAAAAGCATGTCATGAAGTTGGTGTTTATACTGTAAATTACAAGCATTAAAAGTGTTTTATACTCTCACCTAAAGAAGGCTTCAGATTACGTTACAATGTGAATTTTACAGCAATGGCTCTTCTTTAGTATTAGAATATTCCTGTCCTTTCTTTATGATGCTGTGAAATTTGTCTTTCTCCACGTCTCAAAAGAAACCACTGTAGTAATGACAGGTTCTCAGTCATCTCGATCTGTTGGTCTTATTACAGCCCATCAGCGCTTTGAGAGGGTCATGACTACACTGAGATGATCAGGGCTCTCCAATCTGTCTGTCAGACGCTTCTTTCCTTCAGACGCACATGGCTGCCTTTAACAAAAGAAGGAGACTGCAGCTTGTGCCAACATCAGTCAGAAGATAAAATTGTCACATTGTCTGTAATCTTCCAGCACAAAACCCCTGGATTGCAGACTCTGAGACTGGGATTGGCGTTACTTGTCCTTGGATTAGGACAATGGGTGTTTATGAAGTCCATCCCATTTGGACGCTTCTGTCACCCTGCCTCATTTCCAATGATGCATCAGCTCTTTTTACATTCGGACACCTCATTAGTATCATTATCAGCACAGTATGGGTTTTCACAACTTAATATTCCAAGTAAAATGTTTGTGTTTCTTAGATACAAGCTTTTTTATTTGCAAAGATGAGTTTTCTATATGACTGCTCCCCCGCAAGGACAAAATTGGCCTACTTTGTACATTAACAAGCACATGCACATTATCAAACCTCAGGCGAAGCTCAAAAACCATAACAGAAGGACTTTAATCAGACACGGATACTATACATATTTACACAGAGCTCTTGTACTGATCTAACCCTAAGATGCACATATAAATGATCAGCATCATGCATGAGTAATTGAATTGATGTTGATCTGCAGTTTTCGTAGGATGAAAATATGGCTCAGGCTCCCAGTATTCAGGATCAGTATCAGTGGTCCCGTTCTCATTAACAAGCCTCAAGTGTGCAGAGATTCCTTTGCTAATTTCTCATATCAAACCGATCTGTTGAAAATCAAGAGGTTTGTTTTTTGTCTTTACTAAGATCTGAAGTCAGAGCCACAAAATCTGAGGGTGCAGAAAGACCTGTACCTGCAGAAAG